AGAACTCTTTAGTTCTCATGAACTAAGTACAGATCGAGTTCACACTGGAATAAGTCCCTGGGGGTGGATTAGGCAAATGAAGCCGCTGACGTCACTTCTTCTTCTGCTTTGGGTTTACTGGCAGGCCGCAAACCACTTCACGGCGTATACTGCCGCCCAAAGTCCCCGGAGTTGGGGACTGGCTTCAGTAGAAGCTGCTGAGACTCCCAGCAGCTTCTACTGAAGCTTTCCGAGTAAATCGCCAGAACGCCGACACCTCCTCATCTCCACCGCTCCCATGTTTTATTTTGTGTTGCCATAAGTTAGTCTCTGCGTTTCTGCGCTATGCTAATGCTAATAATGCTAATGCGAGGATAATAAAATGGCGGCTTCACAAAACTTTTTGGGAGTTTTACGGGCGTGGTATGCAATCCGCCCAGCCAATCAGACATAGGAACCTTTTTCTCCCACGAAAGTCCCTGCTCTCTAGCAGGGACAGAAAAGGGAGTGAAAAGGTTCTCATGAACACATTTTAGTTCCGGCTCTTTTTGGTGTGAACGCAACATTTCGGAACTATATCGGAACTAAAGTGGGAAAAGTACAGCGGTGTGAACGCGCCTATTGGTAATAATCGCCCCTAGTCACCTTTTGCATAGAAAACTTTTCAGTGCACAATAAAGCAGATTGATCAAGGATGATGCCCTAAGAATGGCATCGTTGAAACACTTTTTTGAAGTTATTTTAGAGATTGCCTTTGTGTTCTTTGTCTTATAAATTTAGTAATCCCGCGGTTTGTTTAAAACACAACTGATCGTCTGATAGCTCTTGTTCCTTGCTCTGTTTTTCTTTTAAGAATGATATTGTGTTCTCAGGTCCTAGATTGTTGATTTGCGGGTAATATATTATTGTACCCAATTAAATAATGATCAATCCTGCAGAGCCAAAGTAAATAATAATGTAATAATACATTCATTTGGAAAGCGCAATACAATAAATAACAAAGTAATACACAAATAAAGAATGGGATAATATTTATAACACAGGATTTTATTTTCAAAATAAAATTAAGTGTGTTTTGTTGAATGACCCTTCTACCCAATCAGAATGGTATAGCCATAACCTATAATTCTAACTCGATGTAAACCCTTCATACATTACATTACATTATATTACATTGCATTTAGCTGACGCTTTTATCCAAAGCGACTTACAATAAGTGCGTTCGACCAACAAAATACAAACTTGAAGAAAACAGAATCATATAAGTACATCAGGTTTCATAGAGCAAAAACATTTCAAGTGCTACTCAACTGGCTTTAGGTAAGCCAGTCCTTTATTAGTATATAAGTGCTTTGTTAATAGTTCTATCGCTCGAAGTGGAGTCGAAAGAGATGAGTTTTCAGTCTGCGCCGGGTGTACGGTTTAACCATGTCCTGGATGTAGGAAGGGCCAGATCCATTCGCAGCATGGTACGCAAGTACCATTGTCTTGAAGTGGATTCTAGCAGTTACCGGAAGCCAGCCATACACATTTGTATGCAGGAGCAAAGCCCAGTGTGTGTGTTTTAAATCTATGTGTGTGTTCTCAACAGTGATTTGTTCAACAGTAAATGTTTGTCTGAGATGAATTCGCCATCTGATCCAGGGCTGCATCCTGGCTGACAAATTAAACGAGTGAGGGGGGGAGGAGGAAGAGTGAGGGGGTAGGAGTGGGGAGAGAAGCTGGAATGTGTAGAAGTGGAAATCGAATCATTTTATTGTTTGTCACCGCGACCCTCGTGGTCACGGTCTGTTATTGGACGCTAATTAAAACGGCAACAATCCTGACAATTGGCAATTAAAGACTTGTGAAAGAGGTGATAGGAAATGAGCTCCTCATCGGGTGCATAAACTCATTCTTTATCCCTCTTTCACACCTCTCTTCCCTCTGTCTTTTCTCTACTCATTAGGAAGACAGAGTGCTGTCACTGACCACCATAGTAAATGATTGGGAGAAAGGGAAGAGGTAGTACAGATAATTACATGCAAGTGTTTTTTTTGGGGGGGGTGGAATAATTTAAATGAATGCGGGGAGCAACTGATTCATGTTGCATTATGTTTTTTCAGGCTGTGGTAGTGGAAGGCTTTTTACATTTTCATGCAGCGACATGAGGCTTGTGGCAAATATAATTTCTAAAGGCTTTTTCACAAAGCTTTTTACCCAGGTTTCTAAAGCTCGGTGAGGAGTATATTTCTAGTTTACTACATCTTGGTACCATAAGGCGTATTCACACCACAGTACTTTTCCCACTTTAGTTCCGATATAGTTCAGAAATGTCGCGTTCACACCAAAAAGAGCCGGAACTAAAATATGTTCATGAGAACCCTGCTAGAGAGCAGGTACTTTCGTGGGAGAAAAAGGTTCCTCTGTCTGATTGGCTGGGCGGAATGCAAACCACGCCCCGTAAAACTCCCAAAAAGTTTTGTGAAGCCGCCATTTTATTATCCTCGCATTAGCATTAGCCCAGCGCACAAACGGAGAGAGACTAACTTATGGCAACACAAAAGAAAACATGGGAGCGGTGGAGTGATGCGGAGGTGTCTCTTTAGTTCTCATGAACTAAGTTCTCATGAACCTTTGTGGGAAAAGTACTGCGGTGTGAAAGTGCCTATAGTCTTTATATAAGAAGTGGGCGTAGCCATGGTGATGTCACACATTGGTTTATGGGCAACTGTTTTAAATCCATGCATTTTTTGGCCATCTTGATCTTTGTGTTTCGGAGCCAGAAATGACAAGGCCAGGTTGCAATGCACATTTTAGTTAACGATAGATAGCTTACTTGGTAAGCAAGGTGCATCCAATGGTAATATTTTTTTGAATGCTAATATTGATAAGCGGGAAAGCAAACTTCTCCTTTGGGTTTCTCTTGGCACAACTGGATAGCTAACAGTTCTATATAATCGGACTCTGATTTGTGTCAGTTTGGCCACTATGTCAGTTGGTAATACTATTAGGCCAGGGGTGGGCAAACTTTTTAGCTCGGGGGCCACTATGAGTTTTAAAATTTGAAAGACGGTTCGGGCCAGTAGCAGATCGGTGAAAAAATATGTAGCTGTCCACTCATTAAACACTCAATGTCGACTTTTATTTTCTTCCACTCATTGTTACAGATGCAGGTTCAAAGGTGAATTAGGTTCAAAGGTGAATTATTGCGTCATGACGTAACCGTTTACGTGCCTTCTTATTACCCACACAGCATTTTACGTCACTGATTTTCTCCGCAACACCGCTCACAACATCAATAGAGGACTGTGTCGGGTAGTTTTTAATCATACGAAGCAAGATTAAATTAAAGAACTACTTCTCCAACCTAATACCTTTCTCCAGAGTGTCATTGTGCATTGTTTATTAATGTGGTTCAGCTGCATTACCGACCGCTGGAGCATTGCTCGTCCACCAGAGTTTAATCTACTGTTAACTCACGGCAGCAGCCGCTGTAAAGTCTTCACTGTCCGACTGTCACACAAGCAGCTGATAAATATCCCCAATTCCCCCATCAGTGAATGTGTTTGTCTGAATTGACGCTGTTTGGCATCACAACGCTGTTATGAAGGTTTCTCTGGCATTCTACAGGTGATGTTAGCATAGCAACCGAAGCTAATCAGACTATCTTGACTACTTGTTGCTATCATATTGTGGCATAAGCCGTATATGGCCCGCAGGCCTTAGTTTACCCAAGCCTGTATTAGGCGCTTTCACACCGCAGTACTTTTCCCACTAATCAGAACTTAGTTCATGAGAACTCTTTAGTTGGGCACTGGCTTCAGTAGAAGCTGCTGGGACTCCCAGCAGCTTCTACTGAAGCCTTCCGAGTAAATCGCCAGAACGCCGACACCTCCTCATCTCCACCGCTCCCATGTTTTATTTTGTGTTGCCATAAGTTAGTCTCTCTGCGTTTATGCGCTGGGCTAATGCCAATGCGAGTATAATAAAATGATGGCTTCACAAAACCTTTTGGGAGTTTTACGGGGCGTGATTTGTAATCCGCCCAGCCAATCAGAAATAGGAACCTTTTTTTCCCACGAAAAGGCGGTAAAAAAGTTCTCTAACTAATTTTTGTTCCGGATTTTTTTGGTGTGAACGCAATATTTCGGAACTAAAGTGGGAAAAGTACTGCGGTGTGAACGCGCCTATTGTTCACACAAAGATCAGTTTTAAGAAGTGGGACCGTTGTGACATCCTTCAACAAAGTCAGATGCTTCAGACAGGTCATAGGTATAGGAAAAGTTGATTTGTGGAATTTTTCATTGTCTTTAACCAAATCAGGATTTCAATTTTACAAAGGTTGTTATTATGCAATGAGTCATAGGAATATTGCTTACAGACGTTGTGGCAAATTTTGATTGGTTGAAGAAAAACAAACTCACCTCAATTGAGTTATTTTGATCTTGTTCTCAACTTAATTTGTAATAGATACAAACCTCTACAATTACCCACATTGGGCTTACGAACCGATGTGAACAGGGACTTAGACGGCTCACAATGCAAATGCTTCTTTGTGCGAGTAAGTCAGCCGGCATAGGACATCATAAAACAACATGATGGATACACAGCCATTGAAATAAATAAATAAAAACACTTTGTCCTCTTTTTTTTAAAATTCCGATCTCTCTACACTTTCGCCTCTTCTCTGATGGATCTGTAAAATGATATAACGAATGAGACTTAAAGTGAGAAGGAGGGAGGGAGGGAGGAAGGCCAGGCAGGAGGGATGAAGGCAGCGAGTGAAGAGACAGAGCATATGATTTATTAGGCTCATAAAAATTCTGCCTTTGTTATTCCCCCTCATTTTTATCTGTGAAGCTTATTAAAGAGCACACCTGCCAGAGTCCTCAGAAAAATGTGTGCGAGCTTAACGCATTCATAAGATGTATATTTGTTCCCGCACTGACTGGATGTTAAACAATTTCTTTCGTTTCTGTGTGCTATCAGATTTTAATTTGCAGACTTTCATACTGATCTGCCAATTTTGCTACTCCCAGGTCCCGCCTCCTCCTCTCACCGTAGCCCCGCCTCTACTCGGGTGTTCAGGACACGCTACAAGATGGTGACCCGTCCGGGCTCCGCCAGCACGGCACACACCCTCCACTACAACCCCGCCCTGTCTTGGAGAGCTAAGAGGATCCAGTCTGCCAGGTAATCCACATTCACAAATACACACACACCTCCCGCAGGTCCGGGTTTAATGTGTCTCAGTGGCTAATATCCCTCAGTGCAGAGCAGCGCCCTGTCTTTAATGTCAGTGTCACGTGCGGCATGAGTGGAAGAGGTCGGGAATTTATAGCGCTCATTTTTACACAGTAGATAACCCAGAGAATAAACCATTTACAACAGCGTGCTCCTCACATTAATTTACAGCAGAAGCGCCTTACACCAGAAGGATATAGAGGGAGGGCGGGTGGGTGGATCTGTTTCTTATGTCATTACAACTCCTATCTCCTCTTTCTCCCAACCCCCCTTCATTCATCTAACTTCCATCTCCCACAGCCCCTCTATTATTCTAGCATTCTCACACAAGGTTTAATCCACCAATGAGTCTCAAATACACAGTGAATAAAACGTGTCAAATGGGCATGCAAGTAATGACTAACTTAATTTAAGGTTAGTCTTTATTATTCTTTTTTTTCACAAATGTAGTCCATACATAAGATAATAATTTGTCATCTAAAGCTCAACATTGAGTTTTGAAATTGCTTGTAGTTTCTAAATCAAAAATACAAATGCAAGCATTTTAAGATTAAATAAAACAAAATCCAAAAATCACAAATTTGAGACACTGGAAGAAAATGTGTAAAAGAAAATTGTGCACAATAAATTATTACAACACTAGCCTGTAAAGGAATCTGAAATCTCATATTCACTTGCATATTTAGTTGTGCATAAACTCCCTTGCTGTGTAATATGCCAGGTTGTGGTGATGATGTCCTTTCCGAGTAACCTTTCACGTTAAATGTGTTGGAGTGCTAGACAGAAGCGTAAGTTACATTACCCTTCATACATTACATTACATTACATTTAGCTGACGCTTTTATCCGAAGCGACTTACAATAAGTGCATTTGACCAACAAGATACAAACTTGAAGAAAACAGAATCATATAAGTACATCAGGTTTCATAGAGCAAAAACATTTTGTGCTACTCAACTGGCTTTAGATAAGCCAGTCCTTAGTATATAAGTGCTTTGTTAGTATGTAAGTGCTTAGTTAGTATGTAAGTGCTCTTTATTTTGTTTTGGTGTTTTTGGGTTTTTTTTTCATTTTATTGCTCGAAGTGGAGTCGAAAGAGATGAGTTTTCAGTCTGCGCCGGAAGGTGTGTAAGCTATCTGCTGTCCTGATTTCAATGGGGAGCTCATTCCACTATTTTGGAGCCAGGATAGCAAACCTATGTGTTTTTGCTGATCGGAACTTGGGTCCCCTTCGCAGCGAGGGTGCAGCGAGCCGTTTGGCTGATGCAGAGCGGAGTGCACGTGCTGGGGTGTACGGTTTAACCATGTCCTGGATGTAGGAAGGGCCAGATCCATTCACAGCATGGTACGCAAGTACCATTGTCTTGAAGTGGATTCTAGCAGTTACTGGAAGCCAGTGAAGGGAGCGGAGGAGCGGCGTGGTGTGGGAGAATTTAGGAAGGTTGAAGACCAGACGAGCTGCAGAGGTCGGATTGTAAGTGTTACGTAGTGATGTGACTCCCTCTGGAGGGAACTTTGGGATTTTAGCCTGCAGACCATTTACATGCACAGAAACCTATAACACACTACAGGGAAGGAAACCCCCCAAAAAGCATAATAGGGCCCCTTTAATTCATCTTTATGAGGAGGTTATTATTGGGTGGAAAATGTCAAAGGTCACCTATCATGCTTTTAGGCAATAGCATAGGTCTCAGATATATAAAAAAATGTCAATGAAGTGTTTTGCTCAAAATACCAAACGGATCACCCATTCTAGCCATGCCTCATACCTCTCTGTTTCAGCCCTGTTACTAAAGTGCTGATTCTGGGTATAAAGCTTTAAAAAAAAAAAAAAAGAGGTGGTGGAGCTTATGCCTGCTCATACGGGAGATTCTACCGGCAGATTGTCAGCTAAATGCTGCCGTGATTAAACGCCATATCATGTTCCAAACCACATCAAGGATTATTTCTGAAACAGTATGGAGCTCAAATGCTTTTTCTCTTGTGGGTTTACCACAAGGTGAGTTCCTTTTTATTTCCTGCTTCTTACACATGCTCTCTCCAGTACAGGTTAGCTCTGAGTGTTAGCGATGCTTGATAATGTAAACAAAGACCATATTACTTTCACAACAGTCGGGCATTGTTTCTGATAGCAACGTTTCTGATAGGGCCGTTGGTGTAAAGCCAGCCCACGTCTCAGATATTAGGTCATATCGGCAGCAAATCTGGATCAGCTCTGTTGTTCCCCCGTTTTTAGAGATTTGGGTACGGAGGAACCGAGAGAGGGTTGTATTTCACTTTGTGAGTTCCCTGATACACCGGGGACACATATCTATGTATTAAAGACATAAAAGTACCTTTAAGTAAAGGCCTTGATCCTAGCTTTGTCATTAAGAAAAGACGTGGTGTTGAGCTTGTTTTCTCCTTCAGTTGCATGCTGTTTGAAGTTTGCGATAGCTCAGAACAGTTGTCCTGGTTGGTATTAGATGATCTGTTAATCTGTAGAGTAATAATAAGCATCCTGTTATAAAAATAACAGGATGCTCTTCCTGTAAACTGTATGTGGTATGACTACACTGTAACTGACACTCTGAAACACACACACACACACACACACACACACACACACACACACACACACACAAGAACTGAGTTCTGATAAACATGAAACTGATTGTAATATAAAGGAATTGGAGCTGCTCTAAAACTTTATTGTGTCCGGTCTAGGAATTAACACAAAACAAATTGAGTTCTTGCAATTTAAGTTCAGTTCACAGAGGCATGATTGTGGTCGTTGAGGGAGAGCAATCAAAGGTAGATTCACAGTACTGAGTGTGTTTTGATACTACGTTTTTAGAGACTAGAAACACCTCATTTTGGTTTTGTCCTCCTGGCCGCCAGGAGACAGCTCCTAAAACTACAAAACCTCAGCATATGTATCTGCTGTGTTTTCTTTTTAGTTGGGCTGAAGTTACATTAGTCTTTTGGTTGTGTCTGTTGTGGAAGCCTGTTTATGAGTGAAAGAGTTTTGGGCTTGTTTTGTGTGTGTGTTGCTTCATTTGTGATATCCAGATTTGGTTAGACAGAGGGGCCGGACTGTGGCCGGACTCAGCCTCTGGTGACTTATTACTATTCATTTAGCTGCTGCAGTAAATATTGATTCATCAAGGGATTTTCAATTTGAGCCCCGTGACATCTTGTGAAATATCACCATGTGTGTAGAAGTGAGGAAAGAGATAGGGAGAGGAGGGGAACAGGTCGGGTCCCCAGGGATGGTGGATTACCCCCCCTCACCCCCACCCATGCGCTCCTTTCTCATGCTTATCTTTCTGTTTAACTCCAAAGACCCTCCACTTTTATCAGTTTGAAGCTATTGAGTGGAGCATGAGCTCATATTCTCTGCTCTTAACTACTGAGTGCTGCTCTTCATCTTTGGCCTATCAGACCCACTGATCCCTGTCCTCATACGTTCTCTGCTCTTATCTCTGTGCCTGTTCATAGCTGAAATCCACACCCGGGGCCACGCTTTAGGGAAATAAATACAAAAAACAGCCTTGCATGGTGGTCCAAGGGTTCCCAAATTCTGGCAGGTAATAAGCAGATATTTTAGGATTATTAACGCCAACTGAGAAAGCACTGGGGGGCTTTTTGTGCTTCAGTTTCTTCATTTAGTGGGCCCGATTATGCTTTTTTTTTTTCTCTCCCCTACACTACCAGCCTGAAATGCCTCCATTGGACTCCTTTGTCTACTTCTGCGACATAGTGACATCAGTACATAACACTCACGCTTCTATTGGCTAGTGCCCTAACTGTCTGATTGGGCAAGTTTATTTGTATAACACTTTCCAATTACAGAAGCTATACAAACTGCAAAAAAATAAATAAAATGTCCTTAAACAACATTTAAAAGCACACATTTAAAGACGTACTGAATATTGATAAATTCAATTAAACATTGAGATTAAAAAATACCTTCACTAACACCACAATTCATCATTTACCATTCCAAAGGAAGAGATGTTTCCCTACCCAGCATGGCATGCTCTTACCTGTTTCCATCCATAACAAGCGTAGCCGGTGATTTAGTGCCGGACGGTCGTTTAAAGGGGCGAGGGAATCGTCTACAGTATTTCAACCCAAGCCACCAGAAAATAGATATAATCTCAACATTAACTCCATTAATAGTAACAGGAGTTGAATTAAGAAAGCCGTAAAGCATGCACACTGACGGATAAATTACAGCCCAACCCTCCCCCTTATCCCTGTCGAACCCTCCATATTTTTCTCCCTTGTAGTCTCTTATTTTCTATACCCGTGCATTTGCTCTGTTGCTTTCTTTTTCTTTTCTGTCTTTTTATTCCTTATTTTATTGTCAAATACAAATCAATTCATACTTATTTTTAATCCAAATGTCTTGGCTTCTACTTGCGTCTTTTTCTAACTTGCCCCTAACATGGCAGGACCCCCAAATAAGTAGACAACTTTTGACTGTATATATCTTCACACACATACACACACGGTCCAGGCGCTCATCTCCTTTAGTGCTTCAGTATCGATCAGTACAGGATGTAAGAGACTGGGCAATAAAGTGAAGCAGCGCTCCCTCTTCTTCACTTCTCTCCTCCTTTTCCCCGCATTCACTCCCTCATTCATCCCCTTTTATACCCCAATTCATTCATTTACTCATTACTTATCACATAAGTCATCTATCCGTCACCTACAGCCGAATGTTGTGATCTTCCTCGGCTGCTGTTCACACTGTAATCCACACCAACACTCTTTAGGCTGCTTTTTAATGTGTTACCCACCATAAGAGAGGATTCTGCTCATTACATCGGCTCTCTTTAAGTTGGATTTGATAGGATCGTGATTGCGTAACGACATCACTTTGGTTTCCTTTAAGTGCCCGAAGAATAGCAGCAGTCCTTACTGTTGGAATTAGCCAGATGACTGTTTTTGCTGTGCTCTGTT